CGGGCTGATTTTTTGATTTTTTGTAGAGATGAGGTCTTGCTGCCCAGGCGGGTCTCAAACCCGCGGGCTCAGGCAGTCCACTCACCTCAGCCTCCCAAAGGCGTGGGATTACAGGATGAGCCACCGAGCCCGACAACAGCTCTTTTTTATATATAAAGGTTTGTAAAGTTTGGTATGCAAAGCTAAACCAAGTATGATAATAAGTCATTTAATAATTGTCTGCTATCTTTAAAAATGTATCAACTGTGTATTCCTTTCTTAGGACATCTAAGTAACATGAGATGCTGTATTTCACAACATACATATTCCAATAAACTATGCTTCTGCATTTTCATAGCAGATAGCTAACTACCTACCAGGACATACTTTATATGACATTGTAAAGCTTATTGACCTTACCATGGGATGCATTTGGCTATTCGGGCCTTTTCAGTTCAACTGTTATGAAAAGGGAAAAATATTAGCAAACATGCACTCTTTGAGAGTCATCACTAGCAGTATGATTATAATTTCTATTTTTTTAAAATAAGGGGTCTAAATCAGCAATTTCTGTGTTCTTTATCATAAACAGTGCATACTGTTGAGCTTTATGGAACATAAAGATTTACTTGCTGTTTATTGTAAGAAGTATAGATTCTTAAAGGAAGAACCCTCTTTCACATAAGACTTGGTCAGGTTTGGCTAAGCTCTGACAGACTGTATAAAACAGCTAGTGATGAAGTAGACGGTGAATAGGAACATCCTGTGCAAACCTACATTCCTTCCAATAGAGAAATCTTAAAATGCCCTCCCACAGATTGGTAAGCCTGAAACTTTTGATTTAAGCCATGAAGAAAAATAAGGGCTAAAACTATGGTGGAGTTTTGAGATGAAATGGCTTTGTTGCCTTCATTTTAAATGGTCACTTTCAGGCTCTTCCACTGTATCATGTTGACATTAGATTTACCTTGAAAACAAAGGGCCCTAGAATCTTCTCTAAATTTTATCTAATTTGATGACTCATAGTTTATATTCCACATCCTACTACTTCAATCAATTCTACTGAAAAATTAAAGAATGAAAAGTAATGAATACTAACACCCATTCCTTCCCACCTATCATCCTTCAGTAGAGCTTTCTGAGGAAATAAACTGATAGGGAGGATGTTTGCAGTAGAACTACAAAAAGAAGATCCCTCCCAAAATATTTGGTTACAGTTCTTAATACAGGTAGCAGCATGTGATTGGGGAAGGAATGGTGCTTGATATCAGTGATATCAAAATCATTCATTGTCACTTTTCCCCTCTAGTATCGTCTAGACTGTCACAGCCATCCTCCCCCCAGTCAGGCTGCCCGTCACCCACCATTCCAGCAGGTAAAGTCATTTCTCCATCACAGAAGCACAGCAAGAAGGCACTCAAGCAGGTAAGCAATGCTGGTCTGTGTTTATCAGAAGTAGAGTCTCCCCCATTAAAAATGTGTGACTCTGGCAGGCATTGAAAATTTCTTGAAAACTTTTTACATTGGGCCCTTGTCAGGGGAAATTTTATGCTGTATTGTGATTTTGTTTTAGTAATTTATGCACCTTTTTGTATAATACCTATTACAGGTTTTTGGTAGGTGCTCTTTTTATCACATTTTTAAAGTTTCTTATTTCCTAGTTTGCTAAGTCTTTTTGTTTGTATTTTTTAAAAATCGTGAATAGGTATCGAATCTTTCAGATTTGTTTTCTCTGGGATTTATGAGATTATCAAGTAGATTTTTCTCCTTTAATTTTTCTGTTTTAATTTTTCTCTTTTAATCTTTCATTCTTTTAATACAGAATCACACAGCTAGGTTTTCAAATATTGTACTATACTTAACTCTTTGGAATAAACCCTACATGTTTATTACATATCTTTTAAATATGTTAATTGAATTTTGTTAAGATTTTAGTTTGGATTTTATGGTTTTCTTGTAGTATCCTTATGCGATCTTAAAATGAGGATTGTTGCCCTGAAGTTAGTTGTTCTTACAAACTCATTCTAATGAAATACTTAAGTGTAATACCTTGAAGAGAAGTCATTTCAAAGGTGTATTAACAAATACTTTATTGATTGCTGGAGAGTTTAAAGAGTTAATAAATAAATGGGCTTCAATCTAGAAAATTTTTTATTTAATGAAACACAAAAATAAAAAATGAAGCAATCAAAAAAATCAGGATTGTTATAGTCTCATGAATAAGTTATGTAGCTCTCTATATTTGTCTAGATTGCAGAGCAAGTTTGTAGAAATTATCTTTTCCTTGAAATTTCAGCAAATAATACCTTTTAAAATTGTTTGTTAGAGCCGGGCTCGGTGGCTCAGCCTGTAATCCCACGCCTTTGGGAGGCTGAGGTGAGTGGATTGCCTGAGCCCACGGGTTCGAGACCTGCCTGGGCAGCGAGACCTCATCTCTACAATAAATCAAAAAATCAGCTGGGCATGGTAGCTCACGCCTGTAGTTCCGGCTATTTGGAAGGCTGAGGCGGAAGGATCACCGGAGCCCAGCAGGATGAGGCTGCGGTGGCCAGAAGCAGCCACTGCATTCCAGTCTGGGCGACCGAGTGAGACTCCACCTCAAAAAAAAAATTGTTTCTTAGTATTATAGTTTCATCTATTATTATTCTCTTGTTTTTTTCTGCTTTTTGAGCCAATTCTGGAAATTTATTTTTCTTAGAAAGTTGTCCATTTTGCCTAAGTTTTTAATATTAGCATAGAGCTTTATGGAGTATTATGTCATTTTTTAATTCCCCAGTGTTCATTTATAATGTATCTTTCCCCAAAATTTAGTTGCCAATGGCTTGTCTATTTTATTGGGCTTTTCAAAGAACTAGCTTCAGAGTTTTTCAAAATGCACATGACCAATAAATAAAAACTCACTAGTAGTTAGGGAAACGTGAACAGATTACTCTTTCATCCTCAGATTTGGGGATAAATTAAAGTGCTGAATTATATCACGTATTGGAAAGTGTATAGGAAAATAATTACTTGTTTGCTGGTGGGACATAAGTTATTATAGCCCTTCCGGAGATAAATTTTACAGTATCTATTAAAAATTTGAATGCACACATCCCATGATTAAGTGGTTGAATTTTTTGAAACATATATTAGAATACAGAGTTAGGCATCATGGCTCATTCCTGTAATCCTAGTGCTATTTGAGGCCAAGATGGGAGGATCACTTGAAGCTAGAAGAGTTTGATAGCAGTGTGGGCAGCATAGTGAGACACCATTCCTACTACAATTATTTAAAAAACTACCTAGGCATGGTGGTGGGCTTCTGTAGTCCTAGCTGTTCAAGAGGCTGAGGTGGAGGGATCACTTGAGACCAGGAGTTAGAAGAGACCAGTCTGGATAACATGGAGAGACCCTGTCTCTAAAAAAATTTAAAAAATTAGCTGGACGTGATGGTGGGCGCCTGTAGTCTCAGCTCTTCTGGAGGTAGGAGGATCACATGAGCCCAGGAGTTCAGTCTGGGTGGCAGAGCCAGACTCTGTCTCTTAAAAAAAAAAAAAAAAAAAATTAGGGCAACCTCCTTAGGTCCCCTCCCACTGTGGGAGCTTTTCTGTCGTCTCAATAAATTCTTTTTAAGAATATATAATAATAGTAATAATAATAATGAAAATATATATACATATGTAAACAAACACATTGAAAAATGTATGCATTAAGGTTTATAATAGCAAGAACTTGCAAAAAATCTATTAGATAGATATGTGTGTATGTATATATATCATTTCAGAGAGTTCCTAAATAAACAATGGTTTTTTCATATGCTAGACAGTTACATAAGATTAATAGTTTATTTTGTAATGAGGTTGCTAGGCAGTTACATAAGATTAATAGTTTATTTTGTAATGATGTTGCTTAGACTAAGGTATAGTATTGAATCATTAAAATTAAATTAAAATTAAATTTTCCTGCAATATACATATATCCACAAAACAATGCTTTATTTTTTATTTTATTTTATTTTTTTTTGAGTTGGAGTCTCACTCTGTCGCCCAGACTGGAGTGCAGTGGCCGCTCCCGGCCACCGCAGCCTCGGCCTGCTGGGCTCCGGCGATCCTTCCACCTCAGCCTTCCGAATTACAGGCATGCACCACCATGCCCGGCTGATTTTTTGATTTATTGTAGAGATGAGGTCTCGCTGCCCAGGCGGGTCTCGAACCCACGGGCTCAGGCAATTCACTCACCTCAGCCTCCCAAAGGCGCGGAATTACAGGCTGAGCCACCGAGCCCGGCTAACAATGCTTTATTTTTAATAAAAAATGTATATAGGTATACACTCACAAACACTCATATATATAAATTTTTTAAGAGTAAGGAAAAATAAATTGACAACTGTGGTTCCCTCTGAGAATTGTATACCATGACTAAGAGTGGTGGTCAAAAAGGAGTTAATTTTTGTAGTAAAAATACATCCGTGAACAATTAAAATTAATAACATTTAAAAAATTATGTAGGCCAGGCTCGGTAGCTCTACCTGTAATCCCAGCACTTTGGGAGGCCGAGGCGAGTGGATTGCCAAAGCCCTCGGTTTTGAGACCAACCTGGGCAACTTGGAGAGTCCTCATCTCTCCAATAAATTAAAAATTAGCCAGGTGTGGTAGCACACACCTATAGTTCCAGCTACTTTTGGACGGCTGAGGTGGAAGGATCGCCAGAGTCCAGCTGGTTGATGATGGGGTGGCCATGAGACTCCAACTAAAAAAAAAAAAGAAAAAAAATGTAAGTTTTAAAATGTTTAAACCAAGAGTGCTTTTATTAAAGGATACCTGTAAATTTGTTAAGAATGATCACTGCTTATCTGGGTATCTTCTGACTCTTGTTTTTCTGTAAGTTCTTAAAAGATTTTAAAAAGTATAAAATGCTGCTTTTCCACACGATAAAGGCAAGTATTTTCTTAAACACTATTAACTAATTCACGACACATTTACTACTCTTGTAGTATATTCCTGTAATCTTATATGAAATGTCGTATTTTCTTTAGGGAATGTCAGCATGAAAAATCATACACATTAGATTGTTGGTATATAAAATAAGTTCTTGCCTCCCATGTATGTTTTTTATAGTATTAAGTGAGAAAATTTATTTTAATTTTAGTTATCCTTTGCCACAAGTAAGAATGTTTTTGTTATTTATTAATTTTGAAATAGAACTAGGAACAAGGTTTGTAAACTACTGGTGAAGGAACTGTGTACAGTAATTCTAAATAGGGTTGATACAGACAGGGCTCTTCTTGGTACATGGTCACAACAGAAGCAGATGCAATCAAGTGATTCTATTAAGTTTTGCATTGCCCTGGAATTAACATGATTACTTTGAGTACCAAGGAATGAATACTGGTGGCTACCCCCCAGGAAGACTATGAAGATCTTCTGGTCTTATTTCAGAGAATGAGAGGATAAGCCATAATCAGTGGTCAGTCAACTGCCTTCTTTTGCACATTGTTCTTCTGCCTCACCTGCTGCAAATGTCGGTGAATCTAAGCCAGACATCCAACTTTCTTGTCTCCATTGGCAGCTTAAAGCAAGGAGATCATTTGCTACCATGCCATAGTGCCTATAGCAGAGCCAGAGATATGTATGAATACTAAGTGGGAGGAAAATATATTGGAAAGAGGAAATGGGAAACCAGAAGTAGCTAATCATGCCATACTTTTTTACATGAATGTCTTGAAGGTTAAATAAGCTTGAAACTGGCAACTTAGCAAAGTCACATTTTCAATTCTTTCTTGAAATTACTTTGTTGGTTTCTTTGTTTCTCTTTGTAAAATCTTGAGTTAAAATGTTGCCTTCATAATATTTTTGTGATTAAAACTTGGGTATTTATTATTTTTTCTGTTTATTTTAAATAGTATTGTTAAGTGTGTTTTATAAATCAAGAACGTCATAGAAATAAACATATTTTGAAGTGGACAGTAAGAACCATACTATTCTTAGAACCAGTATTATCTTGTCTTCCTTCTTCTCTGTTTACTGCATTGCTGTAAATTGTTGAGATTTGATCATTGGAACAAACCTCATTACAGATGGCTCAAGTAGTTATTTACAACCTTTTGTTGAAACATAGTACCTCTGAAGTATATGTAAGCTAAATATTTACATTTCTAAATAGGGTTGATACAGATAGGGCTCTTCTTGGTACGTGGCTTAGAATTCTGTTTCTAGAAATGTTTGAAAACATAAATCTTTGTTTACAAGATTGGAAAATGTTTGACTTCGTGGTGACTTTTTTTTTTTGAGTTGGAGTCTCACTCAGTCGCCCAGACTGGAGTGCAGTGGCCGCTCCCGGCCACCACAGCCTCGCCTGCTGGTCTCCGGCGATCCTTCCTCCTCAGCCTTCCAAGTAGCCGGAATTACAGGCATGCGCTACCACGCCTGGCTGATTTTTTGATTTATTATAGAGATGAGGTCTCGCTGCCCAGGTGAGTCTCGAACCCGCGGGCTCAGGCTATCCACTCACCTCAGCCTCCCAAAGGCGCGGGATTACAGGCTGAGCCACCGTGCCCAGCTGACTTTTTTTTTTAATTCTAAAAAGATGTTAATAACTATTTCTCACATTTATATAAAGGCTTTTTTTTTAATTCTAAAAAGATGTTAATAGCTATTTCTCACATTTATATAAAGAAGTAATGCTAGCAAAAAATATCCAAATTATAAGGATCATTTAAGCTTTGTGTTTATTAGTTGGTTTAATTTTTTTTAATTTATTTTATCTTATTTTTTTGTAGAGACAGAGTCTTGCTTTGTTGCCCAGACTTGTCTCGAACTCCTGGCCTCAAGCAATCCTACCACCTTGGCCTCCCAAAGTGCTGGGATTACAGATGTGAGCCACTGCACCTGGCCTAGTTGGTTTAATTTAGGTTTTTGTTTGCTTCAATAGAGTTCAGAGAAATTGAATAATCAGCATGCTTCTCACCAGTTAAAAAGAAGTCCTTTACCTTATATTATTACTATAAAACTGATTTGTTTCTTATAGTCCGTTTTCTCTTTATAGGCTCTAAAGCAGCAACAACAGAAGAAGCAGCAACATCAGTGCAGACCAAGCATGTCCATCTCCTCCAACCAACATCTTTCTTTAAAGACTGTCAAAGCAGCCAGTGACTCTGTACCTGCCAAACCTGGTAGGCAGTTTGAGCGTTTTTTTCAATGGAAGTTTCTTTTTCCCAGTATTTTTGTGTTGGTTTTCCAAATTTGTATACTACATCATTTACTTTTTAGATCACTGTATTTATATAATCCTTGTACTGCCAGATCATCTGTATAAATCCTACCAGGATAAATGGGCAAAGTTGAATGCACAATAATCATACAGTTATTAAGAATACATCGATGGGATTTTCATGTAAGAAGGAAACTCATGACTAACTTTCAGGATGTCTAATCTAATAATATTTGCAAGCCTCTAATAAATAGCCTTAAAATCTGATGTTTCCTAGAGGCTCAAACTGAACTCTGCTTTATTTATTATTTATTTTATTTTTTTGAGTTGGAGTCTCACTCTGTCACCCAAGCTGGAGAGCATGCCACCACAGCCTCAACCTTCTGGGCTCAGGCAATCCTTCCACCTCAGCTTTCCAAGTAGCTGGAACTACAGATGCGTACCACCACACCCAGCTAATTTTTTGATTTATTGTAGACATGAAGTCTCACCAAGTTAGCCAGGCTGGTCTTGAACCAGTGGGCTCAGGCAAGCCTCTCACCTCGGCCTCCCAAAGTGCTAGGAGTATAGGCGTGAGCCACCGTGCCCAACATTTTTTTTTTTTTTTAATTGGAATCTCACTCTGTCACCCAGGCTAGAGTGCAATGGCAAGCTCATGGCCACTGCAGTCTCAACCTGCTGGACTCAGGTGATCCTTCCCCCTCAGCTTTCCAAGGAGATGGAACCACAGGCATGTGCCACCATACCCAGCTAATTTTTTGATTTATTGTAGAGTCGAGGTCTCGCCATGTTGCTCAGGCTAGTCTTGAATCCCTGAGGTCAGGTAATCCTCTCACCACCACCTCCTAGTGTTGGGATTACAGGCGTGAGCCACTATGCCTGGTTTGAACTCGCCTTTAAAAATAAATGGTTTTCTTAAGAATACATACTACCTTTGAGTTTCCATTAGACATGTCTACAAGGTCTTTGGATTTTTTTGTTGTTGCTTATTTTGTTTATAATCGAAACTGGTCTAGATATAAACTTTGTATTGTATCACGTAATTTAATTTGATACCATAAGTTCATTCTATGGGCCTGTTGGACTCAATCTGAGTCTTAAACAGAACTTTGCATTTTTGTTAGGAGAAAAGTTTAACAGCAGAAGCAGATAGTATCAGGCAAGGAAGAAAGGGATTTTATTCTATTTTTTTACTATAATTCTCAAAGTCAAAATACATTAGCAGGAATATGTTGCTGCATACATACCTTTGTTTAGTTAACATCGAATGATTGTTTAATTGATTTAACTTAACTGATTTCTGTCTATAACCTCAGTGCCACCAGTCTTTACATATTTTTTCCCCCTAGCAATATGGGAAGGAAAGCAGTCTGATGGACAGTCAAACAGTCCCCAGAACGCAAACCCCAGCTTTGCTTCTTCAGTTAAAGTGGAAAATACTTTGCTTGGACTGGGTAAGAAGTCGTTCCAGAGGTCTGACAGACTCCACACAAGTAAGTTAGTTTGGAGACACTTCAGTTTTTATTGCCATGACTTGTCAGCTCTGTATTTGAAATTCATCAGCTATTTGACTTAGGTGTAGGTATGACTTGAGTTATGTAGCAAAGATTAGACATAATTTCTTTTTGTTGTTGTTGACATAATTATTTTTAAGAAGTGAAAAGAAACATGGGCAGAATGGTTAGTATGTCCTTGTCCCTTGTTACCCCTGTTTACCTTTGAGTTCTGGGCTTTCTTCATAGTCTTCCTGTCCTCTTCTTATCAAACTTTATTTTAGAGAAAGATCTGTTATCAGCAATTTTCTGGTTTATTTTTCTTTCTGCCAATAGGTTGCTCTGTCTAGCAATATTCATGTTTATTATTTCTGTGCATAGAAAGACTTCCAGTTAAATATGACAAACTGAACCTTTTTCCTGTTTCTTCTGAAATCCCACTGAAGTGAGACTATGGAGATACAAAAATAAATCCATACAGGTGAAGAAAATAGGAAGCCCACAGATGGGCAAGCAGTGTCAACACATTTAGAAACAAGAAAACTGGATAGAATTTTTCACTGAGCTGAAGAGCAGTTGCCAGTAATAAGCCAGCCAGCTAAGGCTGCAGAACACCAGGAAGGCCCAAGAATTGGAGGTATGATGTATCACAGAAGAGAAGGGTAGGGTATAGGGTTGGAAAAAAGATTCTTATTGGGAAGTTAGTAAGAAGCAATTGATGCCTCATCCTAGCTGGTGACAGGAGTTTTATTTTGAAGTGAAATTTGACCCAAGTAAACCCCAAATTCAGGGACACCAAATATAGCCAAGGGCAGATGATGAGGCGCTGTACTGAAATCAGGAAAATTAAGCAAAATACAAATACTGGATAATGATTCTCCTCTCTGGCTTCCGGAATGCTGGTGGATGAGGCATATTTCTACTACCACTACTTCCTCCACCCCCACCCCACTCCCCCATGCTCTAGCAGGAGATTGGTGAATTGGTACCTAAGGAAATTGAACCACCTCGGGAGAAAAATGTCCAGGCAGATGTAGGTTCCCAGCTGAACAGATATCATCTTGATAAGATATCAATAAAATGGAAGACATTTCCTAGAAATTATGTGGAAGAGGAAAAGAAGGTTCAATAGTAGAAAAAAGGTAAGAAAATTGGAACACCAATTCAAGTTTTCTGATGTCTTAGATTGTTGGACTATCAGAAAGGAAGAACACATGTTGGTAAAATGAGACACTATAACAACATTTTTTACAGTTGGAAGCCACAGGATTCCAGATTAAAAGTACATAATGGGCATTAAGAAACATGAATGAAAGGAAACCTATGCCAAGACACATTCTTTTGAAATTTCAAAACATCCAAGATAATGGGAATGTTCTAAAAAGCTTCTAGAAAGGAGCGGGGGGAATCTTCACATAGACATATTCAAGAATTGGGTTTACAGACATCTCAGAAGCAACATGGAAGCTAAAACTGCAGCAATACTGACAGAATCCGAGGACATTTTTTTTCTATATTCATTTACATATTTCATACCAATTCAAACTAGTATGAGAATAGAATTAATAATATTTTCAGAAAAATGCTTTATAAAAAAAAATCCTTTAATTTTAGGATTGTATATTTTTTCTTAAAGACAGCATCTCCCATATTTATATATTTTGAGTTGGAGTCTCACTCTGTTGCCCAGGCTGGAGTTGCAGTAGCACCCTCACAGCCACTCCATTGTTGACTTGCTAGGTTCCTGCAATCCTTCCACCTCAGCCTTCCAAGTATCTAGAATTACAGGCATGCGCTACCACACCCGCCTAGTTTTTTATTTATTGTAGAGACGAGGTCTCACCAAGTTGCCCGGGCTGGTCTTGACCCCGCGGGCTCAGGCAATCCACTTGCTTCGGCCTCCCAAAGTGCTGGAATTAACAAATATTCATAGAATGTATACTAATATACCAAACATAGGCTTAGAGTAGTCCTAGGACTATATTGATAGAACAGTGCTGCTTCCTTCGGCAGCCCATATTCTACTTAAAATCCATTTTAAAAAATCACAATGTTAGTATTTTTATTCAATTGCAGTAGAAATACAGAGGAATGAAATTGAGAAGCTATGGATGGAGAATTTCTAACTTTCATGGAAAACTAGGGAAAATTAACCATAAAAAAGGAGACATGGCCGGGTGCAGTGTCCCATGCCCATAATCCCCAGCACTTTGGGAGGCAGAGGCAAGAGGATTGCCTGAGCCCACGGGTTCGAGACTAACCTGGGCAACATGGCAAGACCTTGTCTCTACAATAAATAAAAAAATTAGCTGGGCATGGTGGCTTGTGCCTCTCGTTCCAGCTACTTGGAGGACTGAGATGGAACGATCACCTGAACCTAGCCTGTTGAGGCTGCAGTGGCCATGAGCATGCCCCTGCACTCCATCCTGGGCAACAGAGTGAGACTCCGAGTCAATTAAAAAAAAAACACATGGTTTATTTAAGTTTGACCTAATGGCTGAAAAGTAAATAAAAGTTTATCTTCTTTCATGCAGATACATATTAACGGAAATCGAGTGAGAATGTTTAAACATAGCCACGATGAATATTTTCAGACTCAACAGAAGATATAATATATTTTATGTAAAACATAAATGATAAAACTAAATTTAAAAATTTACATAAAATCCTTTTTTTTAGCTAACATTGGTATAATTTGTATTAACTTCAGTAAGATTGATAATCTGTCATATAGTTTTACATCCCTGATTCAGTCAGAAGAATAAACATAGCTCAGATTTGAAGTATAATATTAGGTTGATGCATAAGTTCGTAGTGTTTTGTTTTTGGCTTGGTGACAACACTGCAGTGTTGGGAGTTAATTTATTGTTTGTCATTTCGAGTGACATTGTTGTGCTTGTGAATACGTCTTGCATTTTGCAGATTTGAAGAAGGTTAGTGCTATTGTGAGCTAAAGAAGAAGGAGTGTCAAATGGGAAACAGAAAGACTTCTGACGTATCATTCTGTTTGAGTTTAACAGAGTTGTCAAGGCAGCGGAGGCGGCTTGAAACCTTTGTGCCCCGCTTGGGGAGAATGCACATGGCAGCAAGAAAATGGTTTTGTTGTCTCAAAGAGGGCCACTTTGACCTGAGTGATTTCCCACATTCAGGAAGACATTGGGCTTTGATGAAGACCATTTAAACGCTTTAATACACAATTATCCATGTCAGTGAACCCAGGAATCGACGGATGTGTTGAACTGTGACAAGTCAATCATTGTGTAACATTTGCGTTCCACGGGCCAGCAAAAACGCTGTAAACTTACGTATCCTCCCAATATACCTGACTAAGGCAACCTAAAGTGAGAAAAAAACAGTAAGGTCAACTTAACCAAAATTAAAGGACTTAAACTAGCTACTTTGGATGAGGTACATTAAAGTATCTTCAGGGTATAGTTTGATCAATGCTAGAGAATAATTTACAGAAGCTTCCCAGTCTCACGCAAGTTAAAATTTTAATTATAGTTTGATTGAAATGTGACAGTGTAATGAATACACAAGTAGTAAAAATTATTCAAGTAATGCTGACACTCCAGTTCTCCGAGTAGTTGGGAAAGAGAAACAAGGCTGTTGTTTTTCTAGAAGCATTGCAGTATTGTTTATACAGACTAAAAAAGGATAAGCACCTATATTATCATCAGTGGGATTCCAGTTAAGTTAATCATGGCACATACTGTTGGAATAGTGTAGCTTTTTTAAAAGAAAAAAGATGGATTAATAGGTGATAAGTTGAAAAATGTTCCATCAAGTTTAAAATGTCACTTCTGGCAGGAAGGTTGGAGTTTGAGTGTAGAAATCTTAATAATTTTGTATCTTTTAGTAAGTACTGTTTGAATTTCTTTGGCTAATATTTACCTTTACCTCATAGATACTGTTTTATTATCATTCACTTTTGAAAGTTTTTACAATTTTGTTGTTTCTTCTTGTCCCAGGAGTTATTTTGAATTGAAGTTTGTTGTTGTTATTGTAGTGAATTTCCAAATGTGTAGATTTTTGTTTATGTTTCTTTATGTACTTTTAAATACTGGTCAGAAATCATGGGCTGTATGATACCTGTGCAGTGTAGTGATAAACCACAGACTCTAAAACCAAAATGTCTGGGTTTAAGTTGCTGCACTAACAGTGTAATAGTGTAATTTGGGCAAATTATCGTATCTTAACCTCACTTTCTTCATCTGTAAAATGCAGTGGTGATACTTACCTGCTTCATAAAGTTTTGTGAAAAATAAATGGGTTAATTCATTCAAATGCTTAGAATAGTGCCTGGCACTTAGGAAGCCCTATACAAGTGTTTGCTGCTGCAGTCATTGTTGCTGCCATTACTGTTACTTGAAATTTACTGAGACTTACTTTTTTTGGCCTAATGATATTGAATTTTATAAGTGTATTCTAGTTGCTTAACAAAGGATTCTGTTTATTGGATCAAGCTTGCTAATCTGAAATAATTCAGCTTTGTTTTGGGGGGTGCTTTTGCTATGCTTGATTTATTAATAATTAAGAGCGATGTGTTGAAATTTCCTTTCCCAATAGAATTGTCCAATTCTCCTGGTGTTCTGTCATCTTTTTTTTTTCTTTCTGTCACCCATGCTGGAGTGCAGTACCATGATCACAGCCACTGCAGCCTCCACCTGCCAGTTTCAGGCAATCCTTCCACCTCAGCCTTCCAAGTAGCTTGGGCTACAGGTGCATGCCCCCATGCCCAACTAATTTTTTAATTTATTGTAGAAACAAGTTCTCACCATGTTGCCCAGCTGCCCAGGTTGGTCTCAAACTCGTGGTCTCAGGCAATACTCTTGCCTCAGCTTCCCAAAATGCTGGTATTACAAGCATGAGCCACTGTGCCTGGCTCTGTCAGGTTTTTTTTTGTGTGTGTGTGTTTTTAAAAAGTGACATAGTTTTATTACTACCCGCGAGAGGGGCTTGCATGGGGTGGCGGGTATGCTGGGCTCAGGGGATGTGTGAGCTGTGAGAAGGAGGTGATGACAGAGGCTGGAAGGAAAGGGGTGGGTTTGGAGGCCAGGCCCAAGGGGTCCTCAGATCCGCTTCGAGGCATGGGCAGCCTTGAGAAATGAGTCATGGCAAGCCACAGCCAAGCCGCCAATCAGATTAAGAAATTCTTGGAAATCTAGCTGCCCATCGCTGTTGATGTCCAGTTTCTTCATCATGCGGTCAAGGACACCAGCGTCCTGATTCTTTGTAAAGGCAGCCAGTTCCGTGTTCATGAAATTTCGGAACTCCATCTTGGACAGAGTGCAGTTGTTCCCATCCTTTCCAGCATACTTCTGGAAGACGGCAATCAGGGACTCGATGCACCTCTCAGTCTCTGTAGGGCTGGAGATTTTTGCCATGTCGGAGCTGAGCAAGGCGCGGGAGGCTGTGGCTTGCTCTGTCAGTTTTTATTTCACATGTTTTGAAGTTATTTTACATGAGATGTTTTTATGTTTTAAAATTTTTCTGGTAGAGTGAATTCTTTATCATTATTTATTGACTTTATCAGTCATTAATAAGACTTTTTACTTAAAATGACTTTTGTTTGATATTGCTAAATGTATACCAGCTTACCTTTGTTTAGTTTTTCCTGGTGTATGACTTTCATTTCTGTGTCCTTGTGCTTTGTGTAACTCTCTTTAAGCAGCATATTGCTAGTTGAATTTTCCTTGTTTTTGTTTTAATCCAATGTAACAGTATCTCAATTAGATTTAAACATTTACTATGTTTGTTAATATATTTGGACTTGTTTCTACAGTCTTTTGTTGCTTTTTGTCCTAATGCTATTTTTCTTGTTTCCTTTCTTATTCTTTTAAAAAATTTCTGAAAAGTTGTTTGGGCTTTATTGAGTTTTTTTGTTTTGGGGGTGCCTTTTTGTACATTTAAATTCTCTTCTAACTTTTTTGTCTGTCTACTGTGTTTGGTATGCACTTAATTTTTATTTTTATTTTTTTAGTGGTTGGTGATTCTTAAATAGTACTATATGTTTCTTTTTTAATTGGTATATCATAGTTGTACATATTTTGGGGTTGCATGTGATAAACATGTTTAATTCTTAAAAGTAACCATCTTAGCCGGGCTTGGTGGCTCAGCCTGTAATCCCGCGCTTTGGGAGGCTGAGGTGAGTGGATTGCCTGAGTCCGCAGGTTCGAGACCTGCCTGGGCAACTTGGCAAGACCTCATCTCTACAATAAATCAGAAAATTAGTCAGGCGTGGTAGTGCGCGCCTGTAGTTCCAGCTACTTGGAAGGCTGAGGCGGAAGGATCGCCGGAACCCAGCAGGTAGAGGCTGTGGTGGCTGGGAGTGGCCACTGCACTCCAGCCTGGGTGTCAGAATGAGACTCCAACTCAAAAAAAAAAAGTAACCATCTTAGGCAAGGCACAGTGGCTCACGCCTATGATCCCGGCTCTTTGGGAGGGCAAGGCGAGAGGATTGCTTGCCTGAACCCCAGGGGTTCGAGATCAGCCTGGACAACTTGGTGAGACCTCATCTCTACAATATATCAAAAAAATTAGCCAGGCATGGTAGTGCACGCCTGTAGTTCCAGCTACTTGGGAGACTGAGGTGGAAATATCACCTGGGCTCAGCAGGTTGATGCTGGGGTGGCTGTGAGCTGTTCCACTGCACTCCTGCCTGGGCGACAGACTCAAAAAAAAAAAAAAAAGTAACCATCTTGATTTTCCTCCAGAACAGTGGAAATACTTTACACCAATTCAGTGCTAATCTTTTCTGTCTGGGCTTATTGTTATTATCTGATATTTCTGTACTTTGTTTTTAGCCTCACAAATCAGATACTAGAATACTATTATGTAAATGATGTTAATGTAGATTTATCTGCATGTTTACCCTTCTGCATTGTATCCAATCCATCCTTCTCCAGCGATTTTCTTTGCTGAAGTACAATTTTTAAATAATTTTATTTAGAGCAGGTTTCTTAGTAGCAAATGGCCTTAGTTTTTATTTATATGTATAAATGTCTTTGATTCATATTCATTCTTTTTTTTTTTTTCTTCTTTTTTTTTGAGTTGGAGTCTCACTCTGTCGCCCAGACTGGAGTGCTGTGGCATGCTCCCGACCACCGCAGCCTCGACCTGCTGTACTCCAGTGATCCCTCTGCCTCAGTCTCTCAAGTAGCCGGAACTACAGGCGTGTGCTACCACACCCGGCTAATTTTTTTTTCATTTACTGTAGAAATGAGGTCTTGCCAAGGTGTCCGGATGGGTCTTAAACCCGCGGGTTAGGGCAATCCACTCACCTCAGCCTCCCAAAGTGCTGGGATTACAGGCTGAGCCACCGAGCCCAGCCCATATTCATTCTTGAAGGATAGTTTTGTGAACATGTCTTTATAGATTGATGGTTATTTTCTCTCAACATTTTGTAGATATTTTCTTTTTTATTCTAAATTCCTTTGTTGTTAAGTTTACTGATGCTCTTTGGTTCCCTTTATTAGGTAATCTTTTCCTTCTTTGTGGATGTTTCAAGCTATTGTCTTTGATAAACACTTTTACTATGCTGGGTCTGGAGCATGGATTTTTTTTTTCTTTTAATCCTTCTTGAAATATGTTACACTTCTTTTTTTTTTTTTTTTTTTTGAGTTGGAGTCTCACTCTGTCTCCCAGACTGGAGTGCAGTGGCACGCTCCCGGCCACCGCAGCCTTGACCTGCTGGGCTCCGGTGATCCTTCTGTCTCATCCTTCCAAGTAGCTGGAACTACAGGCGCACACTACCACTTCCAGCTAATTTTTGATTTATTGTAGAGAGGAGGTCTCGCCATGTTGCCCAGGCGGGTCTTGAACCCGTGGGCTCAGGCTATTCACTCACCTTGGCCTCCCAAAACTCGGGTTTACAGGCTGAGCCACCGAGCCCGGCCCTCATTTATTTTTTAAAAGTCTGTCATTTTTTGGTTTTGTCCTTCTTTTTGTAATTGCATTCTTTATTTCTTTAAACATTTTATACATAGTTATTTTGTATTCTACATATCTGATAGCTTCAGTACTTACAGGTTTAAGCCTATTATTTCTGGTTTCTGATGATTCTTTTGTAGTGGCATAATTTCTGACCTGTTGAGTGATCTTTGAGAGGTAAGGCTGGATTTTAATTTGTAGGGATCCTATGGGCCTAACTTCAGAAATCCTTTTATCAAAAAAAGAATTACTTTTGCTTGTGCTTTGGAAAGGAGGCAGAGGGTGCCCACATAGCTTTGTACAAATTCTACATTCTAAATGTAGAATTTCTTAGTCTTAGAGTCCTATGGGCATTACCGTTTTGCTGGATTTTGTAAAATATTCTTCTATAAGATAATTTTGATTTCAGCCACACCAGTAGCATTTGAAAGAGCTTTTTACCCCTTTCCCTGCATATTTCTCTCACTGTATTACAATATTTGCCATTTTGATAGGCAAATAATTTTTGTATTCTTTATTTTAAATTGCATTTTAAAAAATATTAGTATCTTAGTGTCTGCCTATGATAGTGGACTATGAATTGATTACTTGTTATTTTCATTTCCTCACTTTTCTCTTTGTGTTGTCTTTTTTAAATTGATTTGTAAATGCACTTTACTTATAAAGAACAGTAACCTTTGTCATGACTTGCAAATTTTTTTCCCAAGTTAGTCTTTTGTTTATATGTATAATTAAATATATAAATTTACATTTTAATTCTTTAGGTACTCAAATCTGTTCTTTGAAAGATTGTAACCTTCTGATTGTAGACAGATTTTTCTGAAATTGCTAAGCTATTCTAATCATAACATTTTTGGCGAATATAAATTAAGATCAGTAAAATTTTAATTTGCATTCTCATGGGAAGAGGAAAAAGGTGTCAGTATGATTTGTATATTTGGGTTTTCTATTTTTGAGATATTCTTTGTAGTATGTGTCATTTAGCATGAACTTCTTCAGTTTCTTTTCAAAAATAATCTAGTCTCAAACATAAAATGCAGTTTTAGTATGGCAGAAGACCCACTTCTATAGACCTTGATCTATTTTTGTAGAGAAGATAAATTGTATTCTTTCATCCTCTATAAATGAATAAAACTTGTTTATTTTAGTCTTAGAAGGAATTCCTGAGATTCTCAAGTGTTACCTTCTTCACAGTGTGATATTTAAGTGCTTACAAGTGACTTTTTTGTACTGCACAGAAAGCGATGGTTTGGGTGGAAACAGGTCTGTGAGGGTGGCCCAAATTATTCTCTTCCATGTTTTTGTAGGGCAAATGAAAAGAACTAAATGTGCCGACATTGATGTTGAGACTCCAGACTCCATTCTGGTTAATACAAATCTGCGAGCACTGATCAACAAACACACCTTTTCAGTCCTTCCTGGAGATTGTCAACAGCGACTGCTTTTACTCCTCCCAGAGGTGGATCGACAGGTGTGTCATCTCAAGCATAAGCAGTTTCATAGCCCTTCTAGAGCTACTTTCATGCCTTACCTTTAGGCTCCTTAATTCTTTTAAAATAGCTGGTTGTGTATTATGTATGAGGTGGTATTAATGAAACTAAATAAGAGTATTTTTATGTAAGTATCTTATTAGGTGGACTTTGTAAGGCTTATTCAAAGAAAACATTTTCTTAACCAGAATGTCAAGGTTATGGAATAAATTTGACTCGCTATCATGTTAGAAAGTAGACATCCATAGAATACAGTTCAGGAAGAAGAGTTGCCCTGTTTCAGTATCAGCAGGAGGTGAACCAGTGCCTCAGTGGAATGGGAAATGACAGGATAATCCAGAAACATGGGTTCAGATAGGTAGGTCTGGAAGAACACACAACATGGTATAACAGTATTCAAATTAAGAATGTTCATTATTTTTAGCCAGGCACAGCAGCTTGTGTCTGTAATTCCAGCACTTTGGAAGGCAGAAGTGAGGTAATTGCTTGAGCCCAGAGGTTTGAGACCAGCCTGGGCAACTTGGTGAGACCTCATCTCTACAATAAATCAAAAAATTAGCCGGGTGTGGTGGCGTACACCTGTAGTTCCAGCTACTTGGAAGACTGAAGTGGAAGGATCACCTGAGCCCAGCAGGTTGAGGCTGCAGTGTGAGGGTGCCACTGCACTCCAGCCTGGGTGACAGTGAGACTCCCACTCAAAAAAAATGTTTGTTATTTTTATTCTTTGTTACATGTTTCTAAAAAACATTTATTACTTTATAATAACTAACAAACTTAAAACTCAGTATAAGTTACAGTTTTTAAAAAACGTAGCAAGGAGAAATACCAAAGGTTTGGGAAAAGTCAAGGCAGGGACCAGAAAGGTTTAGCTTAAAGAGGCATAAGGTTAAGGGCTGAGTCTTAGGCTTTCTTCAAGGAAAACAGTGACTACCAAGTCATTCCCCCTTTTGATCTTCTGTCTCCTCCTTTGTAAAAGGAAAATAGAACCATTATGATTTTTAGAGTTTTCCTAACTTTTGAGACTTAAAAAAATTCATTATTATTTCTAAATACCCACTATGTTCTAAGTAATGTAATAGGTCCTCCCAACCCCTGCCATTTAAAAATCATTGTAAAAGTGGTGAGAGGGAGATGTTTCCACTAGTTTACATGAAGACTCGTTATATTCCCTTGTTTATAGTAAGACAGTAACAGAGTGTGTTAGCTACAGAATTAATTATAGCTAGTTGGTTATAGAGTTACAGCTAAATTTTTCTAATTCTGACAACCATCTTTCTGCTAGACTATATTGATAACAATTTCATAGTATGACGAATCAGAGCATGTCAAAGCATATCAGTCTATTATCCAAAGAGTTCAAATAAAGTATTCTTACAGCAGTAGGGACAAAGAAATTAATAAACTAGTCTTTCCCAGTGACTGCTTTCCCTTCTTTAACTCTTCTTGGAGAAATTATAGCTTTGGGGATACCCAGTTCTTGGTTAGAACGAGTTACGAGATTGGAATTTCAGCAGAGTTTTAAAAGAACCTCACTGGAGATTGTCCTTTTCTTTCTTTCTTTTTTTTTTCTTGAGTCTGCATCTCCTTCTGTCACCTAGGATGGAGTGCAGTGGCACGCTCAAAACCACCCTTGACCTGCTGGGTTCAGGTGATCCTTCTGCTTTAGCCTTTCAAGTAGCTGGAACTACAGGCGTGTGCCACCACATCCAGCTTTTTTTTTTTTTTTAATAGCGACGAAGTCTCACCAAGTTTTCCAGGCTGGTCTTGAACCCCCCTGGGCTCAGGCAGTCCTCTTGCCTCCGTCTCCCAAAGTGCTGGGATTATAGGTATGAGCTACTGCTCCCGATTATCTTTTTATTAATATTCAAAGTTATTGGGCTGGGCATAGTAGTACAAGACCTAACTGAGGGCCTATTTGTAGAACTCTAATACCAATTCCTCAGAACTGTCTTTTGACTGATGGCCCTTTTCAGACCCTCTCAATCTGCCATATAATTTTAGAATTAGAAGGACCTTAGAGATTATCTAGTTCAGCTTCCCATAGGGTGCATTCTTTGGGAATATTCTTAATTGAAGCTTATTTGTCTAGAGTATTTATAAAGAATTCTGAGCCTGGCTTGGTGGCTTACCGTGTAATCCCGCGCCTTTGGGAGGCTGAGGTGAGTGGATTGCCTGAGCCTGCGGGTTCGTGACCCGCCTGGGCAACTTGGCAAGACCTCATCTCTACAATAAATCAAAAACTAGCCGGGCGTGGTAGCGCGTGCCTGTAGTTCCAGCTACTTGGAAAGCTGAGGTGGAAGGATCACCGGAGCCCAGCAGGTCAAGGCTGCGGTGGCCGGGAGCAGCCACTGCACTTCAGTCTGGGCGACAGAGTGAGACTCCAACTCAAAAAAAAAAAAAAAAAAAAAGAATTCTGATTATCACTAGGATTAAAAGTTGGGAACCGGCTGGGCTCAGTGGCTCAGCCTATAATCCTGGCTCTTTGGGAGGCCGAGGTAAGTGGATTGCCTGAGTTCATGGGTTCAAGACCAACCTGGGCAGCTTGGCGAGACCTTGTCTCTATAATAAATTAAAAAAAAAAAAAAAAAAATTAGCTGGGCGTAGTAGCACATACCTGTAGTCCCAACTACTTGGAAGGCTGAGGTGGAAGGATCGCCTGAGCCCAGCAGGTTGTGGCTGCCGTGGCCATGAGTGTGTCATGGCACTCCAGCCTGGGTGATGGAGTGAGACTCCAACTCAAAAAATAAAATAAAATAAAATAAAAATTTAACCAGACATGGTGGCACATACCTGTAGTCCCAACTACTTGGAAGGCTGAGGTGGAAGGATCGCCTGAGCCCAGCAGGTTGTGGCTGCCGTGGCCATGAGTGTGTCATGGCACTCCAGCCTGGGTGATGGAGTGAGACTCCAACTCAAAAAATAAAATAAAATAAAATAAAAATTTAACCAGACATGGTGGCACATACCTGTAGTCCCAACTACTTGGAAGGCTGAGGTGGAAGGATCGCCTGAGCCCAGCAGGTTGTGGCTGCCGTGGCCATGAGTGTGTCATGGCACTCCAGCCTGGGTGATGGAGTGAGACTCCAACTCAAAAAATAAAATAAAATAAAATAAAAATTTAACCAGACATGGTGGCACATACCTGTAGTCCCAACTACTTGGAAGGCTGAGGTGGAAGGATCGCCTGAGCCCAGCAGGTTGTGGCTGCCGTGGCCATGAGTGTGTCATGGCACTCCAGCCTGGGTGATGGAGTGAGACTCCAACTCAAAAAATAAAATAAAATAAAATAAAAATTTAACCAGACATGGTGGCACATACCTGTAGTCCCAACTACTTGGAAGGCTGAGGTGGAAGGATCGCCTGAGCCCAGCAGGTTGTGGCTGCCGTGGCCATGAGTGTGTCATGGCACTCCAGCCTGGGTGATGGAGTGAGACTCCAACTCAAAAAATAAAATAAAATAAAATAAAAATTTAACCAGACATGGTGGCACATACCTGTAGTCCCAACTACTTGGAAGGCTGAGGTGGAAGGATCGCCTGAGCCCAGCAGGTTGTGGCTGCCGTGGCCATGAGTGTGTCATGGCACTCCAGCCTGGGTGATGGAGTGAGACTCCAACTCAAAAAATAAAATAAAATAAAATAAAAATTTAACCAGACATGGTGGCACATACCTGTAGTCCCAACTACTTGGAAGGCTGAGGTGGAAGGATCGCCTGAGCCCAGCAGGTTGTGGCTGCCGTGGCCATGAGTGTGTCATGGCACTCCAGCCTGGGTGATGGAGTGAGACTCCAACTCAAAAAATAAAATAAAATAAAATAAAAATTTAACCAGACATGGTGGCACATACCTGTAGTCCCAACTACTTGGAAGGCTGAGGTGGAAGGATCGCCTGAGCCCAGCAGGTTGTGGCTGCCGTGGCCATGAGTGTGTCATGGCACTCCAGCCTGGGTGATGGAGTGAGACTCCAACTCAAAAAATAAAATAAAATAAAATAAAAATTTAACCAGACATGGTGGCACATACCTGTAGTCCCAACTACTTGGAAGGCTGAGGTGGAAGGATCGCCTGAGCCCAGCAGGTTGTGGCTGCCGTGGCCATGAGTGTGTCATGGCACTCCAGCCTGGGTGATAGAATGAGACTCCACCTCAAAAAAAAAAAAAAAAAAAAAAAAAGGCTGGAAACCATACTTCAATGTGTGGCGTATGTAGCAGTGAATAGTAGAAAACTATTTAGGCTTTACCCAGTCTCCAAATAAAAATCTAGCAAGGTATTTCACATAGGATAACTAATTATACCCTATGAAAACATACTGAACAAGAATGTTCAGAAAGATTTAGTTGTAGCTATTTAGAAAGATTTAGTTGTAACTCTATAGTTTAAAAAAATAGGAGATTTTGATTTAAACAACTCTCTTTTAATACATTTGAAGGTCCGTGATGTGGAAGAGGTAGACTTCTTTGTTCAGAAAGTAGATTTGGGGTTAAAATAACTTTTTAACAGTTGGAGGATTAAACTCCAGAGTGGATTGACTTGCAGTGGACTGACATGCTCTTTAGTGGAATTTTTTTGTTGTTGTTGGAGTCTCACTGTCTCCCAGACCGGAGTGCAGTGGCCGCTCCCAGCCACTGCAGCCCCAACCTGCTGGGCTCCAGCAATCCTTCCGCCTCAGCCTTCCAAGTAGCTGGAACTACAGGCGTGTGCTACCACGTCTGGCTAATTTTTTGATTTATTGTAGAGATGAGGTCTCACTAAGTTGCCCAGGCAGGTCTCGAACCCGTGGTCTCAGGCAATCCACTCACCTCAGCCTCCCGAGGTGCGGGATTACCGGCTGAGCCACCAAGCCCAGCTTAGTGGAATATTTGAGTGGAGGCTGGATGAACTGCTCTTACAGAGGACCAAGTTATCCATATACCAACTCTAAAGTACAAATCAACAGTCATCAAAACTACAGCCTGCTGGGCAATTTCCAGCCGACTGCCTGTTTTTATAAATAAAGTTTTATTGGCATACAACCACTCTTGTTTGTTTGCATATCATCCATTGCTACTTTAGTGTTACAGTGACAGAATTGAGTAGTTGAACAGAGCCTGTATGTCCTGCAAAGCCTCAAGTATTTGTAGCCTAGCCCTGTACAGAGAGTTTGCTAATTTCTGCTGTACAGCCAAGGGAAGGTAACGTTGGGGCCTAGATTTATTTGGAAAGTATAGTGGGAATTTCCTAAATTTTCTTCAAAAACTTGTTTTTGACTTAAAACATTTTCAAACATTTCAAAACATTTTTACATTTAGATTTCTAATCCATCTAAATATTTTTGTGTATTACCTGAATGTGGAATTCAACTTTATTTTCTACTGGATAGATAGCTAGTTGTTTCAGCACTATATGTATATTTCTGTGAGTAGGTTTTTAATTACTGGGGAATGGAGTTGAAAGGAGAGAAGGAAGGGAGGAGAGGTAAACAGGAAAGGAATGTTTTAAAACAAAATGATGTTACATTAAAAAATAGAGGGCCGGGCTCAGTGGCTCAGCCTTTGGGAGTCCGAGGTGAGTAGATTGCCTGAGCCTGTGGGTTCGAGACCAGCCCAGGCAACTTGGCGGAACCTCGTCTCTACAATAAATGAAAAATTAGTCAGGCATGGTAGAGCGCGCCTATAGCTCTGGCTACTTGGAAGGCTGAGACAGAAGGAACACGGGAGCCCAGCAGGTCGTTGCTAGGGTGGCTGTAAGTGTGCCACTGCACTCGAGCCTGGGCGACGTAGTGAGACTCCAACTCAAAAAAAAAAAAAAAAAGGTTATAATGTAAAACTTGTAACTGATTAAAGCTATGACTTGATAGGGAAAAAAAATAGAGGCATCCAGAATACATAGCATAGTATGATAAGCAGCATGGTGTGAGATAATTGTGTTTCTATAATATTGAATGGACATACTTTCTTTTCTAAAATGAAAGCCAAACACCACATGATATCTTTTACTTTCTTTGTAAGCTTTCCTTGGCTTATTCTTTGACCTAGGTTGGTCCAGATGGTTTGATGAAATTAAATGGCTCTGCCCTTAACAATGAGTTCTTCACTTCAGCAGCCCAAGGCTGGAAGGAACGGCTCTCAGAAGGTATGTGTTCTCCCTCATGTCTCTCCCAGGATGTGTGTGCACTTGGAGCCACTGTGAGGGCATATTGGCACCTTTCCACCTCATCAGGTGTTGGAGCAATTTTGAAAGGTAAAGGGCAGAATGTTTCCATAGGGTCGAAATAACAGTCCTATGTGAAATACATTGCTAGATTTCTATTTGGAGCCTGTATAAACAGATTGACTCCAGATAGAGTCGAGCAATATTTTTCTTTAATGACTTAAAGTCACCAGAGAAACTAACATATACAGAATTTTAGGCCTACTCCTAAAGATTCTGATTCAGTAATCCTAGATTAATGCCTTGGAATTGAAATTTGAATACTTTCCCCAATAAGCAGAGTATAGCATTAGAGTTATTTTATGGTGCTGTACATACCAGGTTAGAGGGCAGTGAGATAGCCTCTTTATTATTACCAACCTCAGTGAAACTAACAGTAAAAGGAATCAGTGAGAACTTAAAAAAAAAACTTGATTGAGATATATTTCATATAATATTGTTTTAGTTGGTGTAGGTTGACTCTTGAGCTTTACTTTGTTTTTTTAAGTTTTCAAGTGATTCTCATTTAAACCACTGTCTATTAGTTTTTCAAATATTACTTCTGTTTTCCAATATACAAGAAATACAAGATAACACTTGAAAAGTCATATATAGTTCTGTCAAAGAATAGCTTAAAATAAGTATGAGAAGCTTTAAAATAAATACACTTATAAAGAGAGCATTTGGAATGCTGTTCATTGCTTACTTGCTGTTAGATTCCTGACAAATTAGAGTTAAATGAACAGTTGATATATATCTATTTTGCTCACAGTAATTATTGACTTCCCCTTCCTCTTTTCTTTTTTTTAGAGCAGATTCTGTGTAGAAGGGATCTCTTGCTGATTACTGTGGTCCTTTCTCTCTGTGCAGTGATCCCTCCTTTTTTCTGAAAGAATTGAAATCATATAAGCATTTTAAAACATACCAATTACCAGTACCCTTTAAAGAATAAATTAGTAAAAATTTATTTATTTAAAAATTCCCCAACCCTCACTTTTTTTTTGAATGGGAGTTTCATTCGGTCACCCAGGCTGGAGGGCAGTGGCATGCACCTGGCCACCGCAGCCTCAACCTGCTGGGCTCAGGTGATCCTTCCGCCTCAGCCTTCCAAGTAGCTGGAATTACAGGTACACGCCACCATGCCCAGCTAATTTTTTTATTTATTGAAGAGATAAGGGCTCACCAAGTTGCCCAGGCTGGTCTCAAATCCATGGGCTCAGGCAGTCCTCTGACCTCAGCCTCCCAAAGTGCTGGGATTGTAGGTGTGAGCCACCATGCCTGGCCTCTAACCCTCACTTTTTTGTAAGTAGGTGCTATCAGTGATTCTGTGGATTATCAGTGTTACTTTTTTTTTTTACATGCTTGCAAATGACTTCTTTACCTATAGCCCTGTGATCATGTTTTATGAGCAACAAAAACTTTGAACACTGTACATATGTGAACAGAGTTCAGTACTTTTTATTCCTCTTTCTGTGATACACGGTAGACTCAACAGCAGAAGTTTTGGGTTGGATTCTGACAGCCAGATCCCTCTTTTTCTAATCCTTTGCCCATGACTGTGATATCCATGGTCCTCTGACACTTTTCTTTTCCTTCTTCTCACCCCTAGGAGGTCTTAAACTTCAAATTCTGCCATTTCTACCTCTTATTCCTTAATGTCCTGGGTATTAGAGTATCTGAGCCACAAGTTTGAAGATGGCCTACCAAGCGCATTCACTGTTCTCTGCTGATGGAGTGGGAAGGATTGAGGTGGTTGGTAGTCTATGCAAATAAATGGCATATTCAGAGCAGCTGGCTCTTTGGCATGTCTTGTTGCTAGGGCACTAGCCTGGTACAATTTCTGAAATAATTAGAAAACCAGCAACTCCAGAATAGCTCCCTCCTTTTTTTTACTGGAATCTCAAATGCTTTTAAGCAGGGGCCATAGCTTTTCTTTATGTAGTTAGAGGTCAAAGGCCTAAAATACAAATTTGCCTGGCAGAAACAGAACTTTAAAATAATATACCCAATATTGTTATTTACTGAAAGCACATCACTTGTTTTTCCCAGTGGAAAAATAAATTAGAAGTTCAAAGTAAGAGATAAACAAAATCTGTATGGAATGTGCTGTTTGGCACAGGAGGGAGGCTCTAGAACAGGGAAGCCCAAAGAAAAGGCTGCCAGCTTCAGCTGAGTACTGAATGCTACAGGGAGTGGTGTGCTGAACATACTTTTTATTTTACCTAATGGGTATAGGTCCTCTTTTATGTGAGGAGCTTTGGGAAGTTACGGTTACTTTCACATAACAGTATTCCGTTTCCTGCATGATTATTTCATGATTTATAAATGGTTAAACATTGCAGATAGCATCTTTCTATTGAATATCCTTTTTTGGGTACATTACAGGTGAGTTTACACCTGAGATGCAGGTGAGAATTCGACAAGAGATTGAGAAGGAGAAAAAAGTGGAGCCGTGGAAGGAACAATTCTTTGAAAGCTACTATGGTCAGAGGTAATATTAAGACAGTTTCAGTAAACCACATATTAACTCCTGCTTAGATGTCATATGGTGCTTTATCTCATTAACGTAAAAGAAAATCTAGTACCCCAGTTTTCTATTTTTTAATTCACCAAACTTTAGCGAGGTTTTTTTTTTTAATTATCAATCACAGGTTCACAGAATTATTGGATTATTCATAAATTTCTTAACACACTATCATTGTGGTAAGAAGGATTTTTTCATTTGTGGTTTTTTTTTTTTTTTTTTAATCAGAGTCTCACTCTGTTGCCCCAGCTGAGGTGCAGTGGCATGCTCACAGCCACCTCAGCCTCGACCTGCTGGGCTTAGGTGATCCTTCTCCCTCATCCTTTCAAGTAGCCACCACGCCTGGCTAATTTTTTTGTTTATTGTAGAGACGAGGTCTTGCTGAGTTGCCCAGGCTAGTCTTAGACTCTGCAATCCTCTCACCTCTACCTCCCAAAGTGCTGGGATTACAGGCATGAACCACAGAACCCAGTGAGATTTCTTTTAAAACAAAAAAAAAAACCTTTTTGTTTTAAAGTCCCTTTCTTTGAAAAGATTAGCTTTTCTAAGATATAAGAATATTGAAGTTCTGTTCATGTTTTATAGTAGTTAATTATCCCACAATGTAACTATCCAGAATCGCTAAGGAATCCTGTGATGTGGACCATTATACCCAACCTGTAACTAAACAGCCTGTCCTCTGTGAAAGGCACTCGGAGAGATGCACATAGCTGAATTAAGATACAAACCCTGTTTCAAAGAGGCTGTAGTCTAAATCAGTTTTTTTCTAACAAAAATTCCAAGGGACGGCCGGGCTCGGTGGCTTAGCGCTTTGGGAGGCCTGAACCCGTGGGTTCGAGACCCACCTGGGCAACTTGGAGAGACCTCATCTCTACAATAAATCAAAAATTAGCCAGGCGTGATAGCGCGTACCTGTAGTTCCAGCTACTTGGAAGGCTGAGGCGGAAGGATCACTGGAGCCCAAAAAGTTGAGGCTGCGGTGGCCAGTAGCATGCCACTGCACTCCAGCCTGGGTGACAGAGTGAGACTCCAATTAAAAAAAAAAAAAAAAAAAATCCAAGGGAATGGGGACATTTAAAAAGATAATAATGGAGCTGTTTTGTTTGAGATACGGTTGACTCCTGTTTGTCAGCCTCTCTTCCTCCTTTTCTGCATACCAAGTGGCAGGCCTTAAGGAGACTTCATAACACAGCTTGAGAACTAAGGGCTCCTTTTCCCTGTCTTTGTGTAATGTTTATCAGTGTCCTTCACAGTCATTTGGGAAAGATTTATGTTGAGTTTAAGAGTCTTGTAAGCTGATTTTTCTACATTCTTCTGTGAGCATTGAGCTTATAGAAATGATGTTGTATACATTTAGACCATCATTACAGGTAATAGTAATTCTGTATATATTTATTTATTCCTCCCATCTTAGGCAGATAGAGCATAACAGCAGTTCCTGGGTCTATTTTCAGCTATTACTTTTTGCCAGCTTTTATAGAAAGACTGTTTTTTGATTACTACCCAGTTTTGCCCTTAGCCATTTTATATCAGAGGTTCAGTACTGATTCTTTGAAGTCACCAAAGAGAGAGCTACATTGATTATGCTTATTACACAATATTCTAAAGCATTAGTAAACTCAGCTAGTGACCCTTACATATTAGCCTAGATTTTGACAAGGCCACACTATAGAAGTTCCAGTTAGCCTACACACTCAGGATAGCTCAGAGGTACTCAGTCTCAGAATTTTAGACCAAGTGGGATTTAAACAGGCTTTCCACAGACTCAACTCATAGAAAACATTGACAACCAACTGTCCTACTGTCACCTCAGGTTCCCTTAGATTTTAGGGAGCCAGTCTTTAAACAGGTGCTGCAGAGCAGAATTGATCAGAATCCGAGGGTGAATGGATCTTAGCCTTCCTTCATTTCTATCTCTCTCTCTCTCTCTCTCTCTCTCTCTCTCTCTCTCTCTCTCTCTCTCTCTCTCTCTCTCTCTCTCTCTCTCTCTGTGTGTGTGTGTGTGTGTGTGTGTGTGTGTGTGTGTGTGTGTGTGTCAGGGTCTCACTCTGTTGCCGTGACTGGAGTGGCATGATCATGACTTACCCCAACCTTGAACTCTTGGCCTTATCCTCCAATCTCAGCCTTCTGATTAGCTGGAACTACAGGCATGTGCTACCATACCTGGCTAATTTTTTATTTTTATTTTTTTGAGTTGGCGTCTTACTTCGTCACCCAGGCTGGAGTGCAGTGGCACACTCACAGCCACCCCGGCGTCGACCTGCTGGACTCTTGTGATCCTTCCGCCTCAGCAGAAGTTCCAAGTGACTGGAACTACAGACATGCTCTGCCACACCCAGCTAATTTTTGATTTATTGTCGAGACAAGGTCTCACCAAGTTTCCCGGGCTGGTTTTGAACCTGCAGGCTCAGGCAGTCCACTTGCCTCGGCTTCCCAAAGTGCTGGTATTACAGACTGAGCCACCAAACCCAACCAGCTAATTTTTTTGCGTAGAGATGAGGTCTCACTGTGTTGCCCAGGCTGGTCTCAAACTCAATGGCTCAAGCAATCGTCCCATCTTGGCCTCCCAAAGTGCTGGGATTATAGACCTGAGTCACCACACCCAGCCCCTTTACTTTTTTTCTAGGTAGACTATGATATATACCTATAGATAATGTGACCCCTTTATAAGCAGAAGTAATAATAATAACTACCATTATTGAGTTTTTGTTAAGTGTCATGTAAATACTTTACATGGAGCAACTTAATCATAGCAACACTGTGAAATAATTAACCCTAGCATACAACCGAGAAAAATTGAGGTATAGAAGGCTTGTTACTCCCTTAAAATCACATGGTCAGTTGGTATCAGAGTCAAAGTTGGAATCCAGGCCCCTTGGCTCCAGAACCTGTACCACTATTAATAGTAGTGAAGATAATACATGACGAATACCTCCTGTGTGTCAGGGGTTCTCCAGGGCATTGTCATATTTCATTATCTCATAACGCCTTCAAATAACATGTGCCATTTCTCAATAGAATATTTCTTTTTTCCCTTCTTTAGTTCTGGCCTGAGCCTTGAAGATTCAAAGAAATTGACAGCTTCTCCCAGTGATCCCAAAGTAAAGAAAACCCCAGCTGAGCAACCAAAAGCCATGCTGTCTTCAGAGGTCTCTCCTGTCAGAATAGTCCCAGTAGTCCCCCAGTCAGAGTATAAAGAAGAAACACCGCAAATGTCGTCACCAGACAAAAAAGAAGAACGCGAAAGCCAAGACAAGGTGCAGCCTAGCTTCTCCACATCCACAGAGCCCCTCCTTTCCTTAACTAGCAGCACACAGGAGCTTAGCAGTGCTCTTCCCGTCACATGCCCAAAGGATGAGGATCTGCTAGAGCAGAAGCCAGTTGCCTCTACTGAACAGGAGTCTGAGAAAGAGAATCATCTCACTATAGCTTCTAAGTGTAACAAAAATGAAAGCCAAGAATCTTTAGTTACGTCCCCAAGCAAATCCAAGAGTCCTGGGATAGAAAAGCCAATAATAAAGCCCGTAGCAGAAGCAAGCCCACAGGAGACCCCTATGAAAGAACCTCCAGTAACTCCTGTTGATCAGAGCCCTGAAAGCCTCAAGAGGAAATCTCTCACCCAAGAAGAGACCCCTGTGAGTTGGGAGAAAAGACCTCGTGTCACTGAGAATCGCCAGCACCAGCAGCCATTTCAGGTCTCGCCACAGCCCTTTCTCAGTAGAGGGGACAGGGTCCAGGTGCGAAGAGTACCACCTCTCAAGGTAAGGGAGTGGGGAGAGTCAAAACCGGGGGATGGTCTAAGCACTATGTTTTTGGTCATATCTACTAAATTTCAAGTAACTTGTGGTATTTCTCAGTTGTATATATTTGATAAGCATGTAACTGTGGTCTTATACAGATAAAAGTACTGACAAACAGGCATTTAGAACTGCATTTCTATAGGTCTTTCTTGATGTTTGAATAAGGAACATACCTGGGTATCTAATGTAAATTACCCTCATGCTCACTACTATTGTAACTACACATTCACAACCAGAAAATTTTTCACTTTCCTAATACTGAGAGCAGGTGAAAATAAAAAAATCTGAAGCTGGTTGCCACAAACTTCTGTCATTAAGCACAAGTGAAATGGTCATTTCTAAATTGTCACCTTTTTCACAATACAGCTGAAAGTTGCAGCCTTCCTTCACCCCTCCCTCCTCCCATTTTAGGGACACCATTCTGACTAGCATTCTGTACTTTATTCAGATTATAAACCCAAAAAGACAGTCTTCCACAGTGAGGTAAATTCACGTCAGTGGCAACCAGGAACAGAATTTGGTATGATGTAAATTCATGTCAGTGGTCGCAAATGAATTAAGACAGTTATGGAAGTTATTGTCTTATATAACAAAATAAGTATGAGACTAAGCTTGAGGGGGCCACTGGTATGAACAAAAGAGCCTATGTTTGTACCAAGAGCCATGGTACTTGAGTATACCCTGGCTCTTTTCATGTTACTGTAACTGATTTGATGTTCTGTGAGTCTGAAACTACCTTCAGCTCCCTCCTACTAAAGGAAATATGTGTGGCTGTACTGTGTTACCACTGGTTAGTTGAGGAACTTTAGTAAGGTGGAATAGCCTTGCTAAGCTCCATTGTCTGGCATATGTCATTAACTTCTGTTTAGCCTTATATTGCTGCATGTCAAATCTTTCCTTTTCCTCTAGACAGTGCCTCTGTCTTAGTATAGAAAGCCCTTTAAAACACAAACATCTTTTTACTCTTGATCTGAAGGTTTTATTAATACTTGGGCTTGTGCTTACTAGCAGCTTGGAGTTCATTCATTTACTATATAGTATTTCTTTATTAGTACTTTTTTATGACTAGGGTCTATTACTACTGTTGTGCCTAACAAGATCCCAGGCAACTGAGTATTACTCATTCACATCAGAATATAAATAGAAAAATAAGCCCAATAAAAATACTCTTCCCCCTTTTTTATTCATCTTTGATGAGCCAAAATTAGTTTTATGAGGAAATACTCCTTGGAACTATTCACTGACTAGAACGTGGCCCATTTCATGCACTACTTGGCTTCTCTCTCTCATTGTACTTCCTACTCTTGAATTTATGCCTTTTTAATTTTAAGATTTGTAGTTTTAGCACTTAGGAATCTGTGGGGCTTTTCTTTAAAAAAATTTTTGCCTACCGTTTATACATACTGTCTTGCTTTGCCAGAGCTACTGATTTTTATTATAATCACTACTATTATTTTTATAAAAAATACTGGCAGGGCATGCTGGCTCAGCCTGTAATCCCAGCACTTTGGGAGGCCGAGGCGAGAGGATTGCTTGAGCCCTGGGGATTCAAGACCAGCCTGGGCAAGTTGGTGAGACCTCGTCTCTATAATAAATAAAAAAATAAGCCAGGCATGGTAACACACACCTGTAGTTCCAGCTACTTGGAAGGCTGAGGTGGAAGGATTGCCTAAGCCCAGGAGGTCAGGGCTGCAGTGGCCGTGAGCGTGCCACTGCACTCCAGCTCAAAAAAAAAAACAAAAACAAACTAGAAACTTTTCTTTAATAAATGTCAATTAGAGCTTATCCTTAGACCTGAGAACTGAGTTACAGCTTAGGTTTTGTTGTAAATGACGCCAAGACCCATCATTTCTATTTCCTCATCTATTAACAGGCTGGGTTAGATCATTCTGTTTGCCTCCTGCAAATCCAGAGAGACTCTACACACTGAAAACTTAAATCCACTGTGACCAAGTTAATATAATTTTACTTTTTAAAAAAAAATTTCTTCTCACTCTTCATCCCTTCCAAAAAAGACTTCATTAGAAGTTGCTGTAGTAACTCACTTACCTTAGACCCTATCTCAGATACCACTTTCTTAGACAAAACTTAATGTAATTTATAACAGAACAAAACCTTTTGTGTGTGTGTGAGTTGGAGTCTCTGTCCCTCAGGCTGGAGTGCAGTGGCACACTCACTGCCACCCCAGCGTCGACCTGCTGGGGCTCTGGCGATCCTTCTGCCTCAGTCTTCCAAGTAGCCAGAACTAGCAAAACTTTTTAAACAAAAAAAATTTTTATTTCTTGAATTGAGGTCTTACTCTGTCACCTAGGCTGGAGTACAGTGGCACAATCATGGCTTATCGTAGCCTTGACCTCCAGGGCTGTAGTAACTAAGCTATAACATTTGTACTAAATTTCATCCTCCCAAGTAGCTGGGTTATAGGCACATGCCACCATGCTTGGTTACTTTTTTTTTTTTTTGAGTTGGAGTCTCATTCTGTGGCCCAGACTGGAGGGCAGTGGCATGCTCACGTCCACAGCAGCCTCAACCTGCTGCACTCAGGCGATCCTTCTGCCTCAGCCTTCCAGGTAGCTGGAACTACAGGCATGCGCCACCATGCCTGACTAATTTTTTTATTTACTGTAGAGATGAGGTCTTGCCAAGTTGCCCAGGCTGATCTCGAAACCATGAGCTAGGCAGTCCTCTCACCTCAGCCTCCCAAAGTGCTGGGATTATAGGCATGAGCCACAGCGCCCAGCTAATTTTTAAAAATGTTTTGTAGCGACAAGGTATTGCTGTGTTGTCTAGGCTGGTCTTGAACTCCTGGGCTCAGGCAATTTTCTCACCTTAGCCTCCCACTGTGCTAGGATTACAGGCATGAGCCACCACACCTGGCATAACAAAATTTAAGTAGTAAACAAAATTTGAAATTTAGTACAAATGTTATAGCTTAGTTGCATACATATATATACAAAAATTATATACACACACGTGCATATTCCTCTATATCTGCAGGCAGACTATATAACTGGATATAAAATAACACAATGTTTTACTGCATCCTGAGATTCAACTAACCACCTATTGAAAATATTCAGAAAAGATGGCAGGGCATGATGAAATCCCACCACTTTGGGAGGTCAAGGTGGGAGTTTGAGACAAGCCTGGGCAACATAGTGAAACATCTTCTCTACAAAAAATTAACTGGACGTGGTGGCATGTGCCTATAGTCTCAGTTACTCAGGGAGGCTGAGGTGGAAGAATCGCCTGAGCTCTGAAGGCTGAGTCTGTATCAAGGCTGAACTGTGATGGTTCCACTGCCTGGGTGACAGTGAGACCCCCAACTCAAAAAGAAAAGATCAAGAAAATAAAAAAAGAAAAAGAATAAAAACATAATACAACAGTAAGAAACATACAAATGAAATTATAATATAACAACTACAAACCGGGCTTGGTGGCTCAGCCTGTAATCCCGTGCCTTGGGAGGCTGAGGTGAGTGGATTGCCTGAGCCCGCGGGTTCGAGACCTGCCTGGGCAACTTGGTGAGACCTCATCTCTACAATAAATCAAAAAATTAGCCAGGTGTGATAGCGTGCACCTGTAGTTCCAGCTACTTGGAGGGCTGAGGCGGAAGGATCACCAGAGCGCAGCAGGTTGAGGCTGTGGTGGCCTGGAGCGGCCACTGCATTCCAGTCTGGGTGACAGAGTGAGACTCCAACTCAATAAATAAATAAATAAATAAACCAACTACATAGCATTTATATTATGTTAGGTATTATAAGTAACCTAGAGATGATTTAAAGTATTCAGGAGGTTATATTTGAATACTGTACTATTTTAAATAAGAGACTTGAGCAGCATTCTCAGATTTTGGTATCTTTGGGGGTCCCAGAATCAGTTCACTATAGATACTAAGGGACGGCTGTACCTTTAAAAAGAAAATAATGTATTCCTGCTCTCCCAGGATAGAGCTTTGCAGAAAGTTAAATTGTTATCACTGCTTAGCCAATTTTGAGTGGTTTTGTACTTTGAAGGTATGCTTTATTCTGCATAATTAGGTAATAGGGCTATTTACATCAATAACTGAAAGTTATTTTAAAGTATTAACACTTTTTATTTTAACTACTTTTGATGGTTGTTCTTATTTGATTTCAACATGTGTTATCTGTGATTTTCAGTCATTACGCTACATAGCATGTTATGCTATATATAGTGTTAATCTCAAGAGTATTCTTATATAAGATTTTTTTGTCCCTATATAAAATTTCCCTAAACAATTTTCTTATATTTGACTGTTTAGTTTTATCTATTTTTTTTTTTCATTTTTCTCCTGCAGACTCTTTCAGATGATATTAATAAGAGACAATAATTGCTTCTTTCTTACTATGGGGCAGCTTCCGAAATACTATGTGCTGAGTAAATATCCTATCTAGGCTTGTTAGAATTGGATATAAAATAGATTCAACAGCTCTTAGAGAGATTAAGTAAATATTATGGACTTTGTGATATCTGTTACAAAATCCCAAGGCTCTAACTTCTGAATTACAAAGAATCAATTTTTCAGGGCTACTGACCTTTTGAGAAATGGATATTACAAATAATAAAAAATTGCTAGTGACTTTTTAATTTTTTGGGGTGGGAGGTGCTAGTCAGGGTCTCACCCAGTCTGGAGTATAGTGGTCTTACTATGGCTCACTGCAGCCTCAACCTCCTGGGCTCAGGCAATCCTCACACCTCAGCTTCCTAAGTAACTGGGAGTATAGGTGCGCAACACCACGCCTGGCTAATTTTTTTTTTGGTAGAGATGGAGTCTTACTATGTTACCTAGGCTGGTCTTGAACTCATGAACTCAGGCAATCCTCCTGCCCTGGCCTTCCAAATTTCATGCCTGAAATTACAGGCATGAGCCACCACACCCAGCCCTTTTTTATTCTTAATTTAAAGATATGCAGAAAGATTACATGCATTTCCTTTGAGCTTACTGGCTTAATTTTTTTTTTTAATTAAATGCTTTAGAGCACTTGTACCAGTTATTTGCTCCTTTAAACTCAGCCAACTACTAGAAGAGTCCACATCTTGATGCATTATAATGAACTCTACTAGCTTTCAAAGTATTGTTTTGAACTGGAGGCAGATTTGTTTCAGACATGCTTTTTGATATAGTCATCAAAATCTCACAAGTAGTTTTTTAGAAATACATCTTGTCCTAGTGATTCTGATTTGTAAATTTAGTTTAGGCTACAGAGGCAAACTGGTATTACTGTCTCCAGGGTTGGACCTCTCAGCTATAGACCTCCCATGTTTCTCACAGGTGCTGTAGTATTTATCTGTTCTAAAAATGTCAGGGCTAATGTGCTTGTGTTATTCTTATCAATGAAAATTGAGTTCTGTTGTTTCACCCCTCCGCTTCTTTCAGATCCCGGTCTCCAGAATCTCCCCCATGCCGTTTCATCCATCGCAGGTCTCTCCCAGGGCTCGTTTTCCAATCTCCATCACTAGTCCTAACAGAACAGGAGCCAGAACTCTTGCAGACATCAAAGCAAAAGCCCAGCTGGTCAAAGCACAGAGGGCAGCAGCCGCTGCCGCTGCCGCAGCTGCTGCAGCCGCCTCAGTTGGAGGGACCATTCCAGGACCTGGCCCAGGGGGTGGACAAGGTCCAGGGGAGGGTGGTGAAGGGAAGACTGCCAGAGGAGGCAGTCCAGGCTCAGACAAAGTCAGTGAAACTGGAAAGCGCCTCACACTGGAACTGGCAGGAACTGGAAGCAGGGGAGGTACGGGAGAGCTTTTATCCTGTGGTCCAGAGACTCAGCCCCAACCTGAGACCAGGACCACCCCCGGCCAGCCTCATAGTGTCTCTGGAGCACAACTACAGCAAACCTCCTCAGTGCCTCCAGCACCTGCTGTCGGTGGAGCATGCACAAGTGTCCCATCATCAGCCTACATAAAGAAATTGGAGAATGAAAAACTGAACCCCTCCAGAGCAGCAGCCACAGTGGCCTCCCTTAACCACCTACAAGGACCCAGTAGTTGCAGACAGGAGAAAGCACCTTCTCCTCCAACAGGTCCTGCTCTAATCTCAGGTGCCTCACCTGTTCATTTTGCAGCTGATGGTACAGTAGAGCCCAAAGCAGGCTCTAGAAAGAATACACCAAACTCTTCAGCCTCAGCAAAGACAGATGCTGGCATGCCAGTGGCTGTGACTCCCTCCCCTTTAACATCTTTAATGACAACAGCCACTTTAGAAAAGCTTTCTGTCCCCCAGGTTAGTGTAACCACAGCATCTTCTAGCCTTAAAATCCCAGGAACTCCTTTAAATATGAATGGGCCCACTTTAAGACCAAGCTCTAGTATCCCTGCTAATAATCCTTTAGTTACTCAGCTGCTCCAGGGCAAAGATGTGCCCATGGAGCAAATTCTGCCTAAACCTCTCACCAAAGTTGAAATGAAAACTGTCCCACTGACTATAAAAGAAGAAAGGGGCCTGGGAGCACCCGTGGGTACCAGTACAGCAGAAAATAGCACCAGAGAGGAAGTTCATGAGAGACAGTCCTATCCAACTTCACAACAGCAGCTGGGCAAGACCTTGCAGAGTAAGCAGCTCCCCCAGGTTCCAAGGCCCCTTCAGCTCTTTTTAGCTAAGGAGCTGAGAGACTCCAGCATTGACACACACCAATACCAAGAAGGTCTAAGTAAAGCAACCCAAGAGCAGATCCTTCAGACTCTCATCCAGAGGGTTCGGAGTCAGCATCTTCTCTCAGCCATGCCGCCCTCCCAGTTCAACTTCGCTCACTCAGGTTTCCAGTTGGAAGACATCTCCACGAGCCAGAGGTTCATGCTGGGTTTTGCTGGCAGAAGGACATCCAAGCCTGCAATGGCAGGTCACTATTTACTTAATATTTCCACCTATGGCCGGGGCTCGGAGAGCTTTAGGAGGACCCATTCTGTCAACCCTGAAGACCATTTTTGTCTAAGTAGCTGCAGTGAAGCCTTGAAAATAGGATATACAGACTGTAAAAACGCAACAGGCGATAGCAGCAGTGGTAAAGAAGATGATACTGATGAGGAAAGTACTGGTGATGAGCAGGAATCTATCATGGTCAAGGAGGAGCCCCAGGTTTCCCAGAGTTCTGGCAAGTGTGACTCAAGTTCAGGACCTCACAACAGGGAAACTCTAGCCACCAGTGATTGCTTAGCTAACAAGAATGTGAAGGCTGAGACACCAGTGAATGAGCAGACCACTTTAAGCAAGGAGAATTACCTGTTCACTAGAGGCCAAACATTTGATGAAAAGACGCTAGCCAGAGATTTAATTCAGGCAGCACAGAAGCAAATGGCTCATGCAGTGAGAGGTAAGACAAGGTGTAGCAGCCCTGAGCTTTTCAATTCTACTGGCCCTCCTTTACCTACAGACAGCCCCACCCGTCAACCTCTACTCCTTCCTCCTCTGCAAACCCCAAAGTTGTATGGAAGCCCCACACAGATAGGGCCAAGCTACAGGGGCATGATCAATGTCTCCACCTCATCTGACATGGACCATAACTCTGCTGTACCAGGTAGCCAGGTATCTAGCAACATAGGTGATGTCATGTCCTTTTCAGTGACTGTCACTACCATCCCTGCTAGTCAAGCTATGAATCCCAGCAGCCATGGCCAAACCATTCCCGTTCAGGCCTTTCCTGAGGAGAACAGCATAGAGGACACACCTTCGAAATGCTATTGCCGATTGAAAGCCATGATCATGTGCAAAGGATGTGGAGCTTTCTGCCATGATGATTGCATTGGCCCCTCTAAACTGTGCGTCTCATGTCTTGTTGTTCGGTAATGAGACTAGAAAGAGACATGCTGTAAACGGGGGAAAAGGAAGGTTTGACCAGATATGGGTCGGTTTTTTTGTTGTTGTTGGTTTTTTTTTTTTTTTTGCGTCCTTTGGAATCACAGAAATAAGTTTCAGTTGTCTTAAGAGACAAATGTTACTTAATCAGGAATAAAGAGTACAGATCTTTTACATTTAGAGGAAGAGCACCTTGTATAGTAAGTCTAAGTCAAGCAAGACTTTGTGAATTTGTGACAAGTTTGCACTTATAAAATCATGTAAATATGTCACATTTTGTTTAACATTATTTTTCCAAGTGTTTAGGTAATAATGTATTACTTTAAATTCAAATTTATGCTTCATTTCATGTGACTCTAGAAAGCTTAGTGGCATGCATGGTGAAAGAAAGCTGTCTCCCTTCTGACCTTTCCTGAGAGACTAGGAAAAGTGAAGGAATGGTCCAAAGAACTGACCATTCATGCTGATTATGTCTTGCCAGTCTGGCTGCAGATTATTTAGCCTTGGCAAGATTTGGGTTCAAGGTTTTCTTAGTTTTTTTACTTTAGATGGAACCTTCCTAAGTTGAAGTTTTGGTGAAGTATTCATTTCACAGGTAGTGGTTCAGACTCTGAAAGCTCTGACTTGGTTCTTGGCTTCCGCGAACCAGTACTATTGCCAGGTACTCTGCCTGCCCTTTGGGGATCCCTGCTGTTTCTCAATCTCATCCCCTGCCCTGAGACAGCAAATGTGGCTTGTGACGCGAGTGCCTCTCTCTGCCCCTCTGCCCCACATGTTTTTATAGCCTATGCAGGGCAACAATTCCAGCAAAAATATCCCCATACTTATTCATGGGAACTAACAGTTTTGAAATACTAATATGAAATGAATGGAAACGTGTTAATGATGAGGTGATTTGGGCTCTGTCTTGTTGGGCAAGTGAAATCCAGCTGCAGAAACCGTTAAGTTTATGTAAAAGCATTGGAAAACAATTTTAACACTAGAAACAAGGTAGCTTCTCTTTTCCTCTTCTCTGCCAGTTCCTTTCCTAGTGCTGCATAGTTAACTGTCATCAAAGGTAGAAAAGTTCATTAACAGCACATTTGCTCATTCTGTTCAACCTGTTTTGACTTCTAGGCATCTGAAGAGGATGACCTAATCTTATTATATCTTACTTTGCACACATAGTACAAAACACTTTTCCTGTTTTAGAAAATACGTCCCCCATTTTGGATTACTGCTATCTATGCACTAGAAATTTCTAATGTAAAGGGTCTTCAGTGAATGACTAAAGGATCGTCTGGAAAAGAAGAAAAATTAACTCCAAAGTTTTATTGTTTGTTTTTGTTTATTTTGTTTGTTTGCTTTTTCCATTTTGGTTTTTAATTTCTTCTCTAGCAACAGAAGATTTTTTGAGTACATAATATTTAGGTCATGGCTAAAGAACATTAAGATAAACCTATAGTTTTCCAGAATTTGGTATTAAATTGAAGTGTCAATTTGCATCATTTGCATATTGATTTCAAGTCTCCTCATTTGAAATGTGTAAAGTAAAAATATTAGTGCAACATACTAGTTGTATTTGTCCTTAATATTCAGGATGTGATATTTACAAAATGCAGAACTGTCTAAACTTCTTAATTAAATCACATTCCAGTTTAGAAGAAAATAGGCAATAATAATCTCTGTTTTGCCCCCATTCTGCTACCCGCCCCCCGCCCCCCTCCAGCCTCTGCATCAGACACTCTTTTATGCTTTCCCATAGTCTGTGCTCCAAACACCATAACTCACTTCACTACTCTTCATTTTTCATTTCTGGCTTTTTTGTGGCCCAAGGCAAATAGAGGATGAATATCTGTGTTTCAGTTTCAGCCAAGGTGATAAGATGTCTTTCCATCTTCCCCTTTTCTTCTAGCACACACACAACTAGAGATAAGCCAGAGATAAGAAGTAAGTTTTCTAGCCGGGCATGGTAGCGCGCGCCTGTAATTCCGGCTACTTGGAAGGCTGAGGCGGAAGGATCGCCGGAGTCCCCCAGGTCGAGGCTGCGGTGACCGGGAGCGGCCACTGCACTCCAGTCTGGGCGACTGAGTGAGACTCCAACTCAAAAAAAAAAAAAGAAGTAAGTTTTCGAGCCAAGAACAAGTAGGAAACAGAGATTATGGTTGTGATCCCAAACTTTCAGTACCCTGGGTACTCCAAAGGAGGTCTAGGTTTAAAAAGACCTCTTGTGGACAGAACTCCGCTCTGTGCCCAGCTCCTTCTCTTTTCATCTTAGTGCCAGGGCTGAGGGTTGGTCTGTGTGCTGAAAGAGGTCGAGTATTTTAGAATTGACCCCATGCTAAATGTCAGTTAAGCGTTTGGGTTGATGAAGGTGATTTTTTCTGATTTACTCCTTTGCTGTCAGAAAAATGTTTCTTCATGGTTCCCTTAATCTGATGATGGACAGCGTAACCAGAAGGAAAGGTATCAGGGATTTTCAAGTCCATGTAGAGAGCAAACCATATTGTGCCTCTTCATCTTGACCCAGGCTCTTATTCACCAGATTCTCTTAACAAATAATACGAAGCTAAATATTTGCATTTAGTGGTACTCCTAAAACTAAACTTGCCAACTGGATACACTGCCTCAATCTTGACCAAATGAGAGAGATAAAAGTGAAATTCTCCTAGGTGGGTAGTAAATTAAATACTGATCTATCATTTTGTTTCAAAACAATGATTTCAAGTAGAAAGCCATTTATCTTATAAGCTGAACAGAAAAAAAGTGTGGTCTGGTTTTTTAGAAAATGCAGTAGTAGAAACAGGAAGACCTTTAAATTATTTCATTATGATACTCCAACAGCACCTTTAAAGCAGTTTTTATCTTAGCTTAGAGTTGTTTTACCTTTCAGTTCAGTGTGGAATTTTTTTTTTTTTTTTTGAGTTGGAGTCTCACTCCATCGCCCAGGCTGGAGTGCAGTAGCATGCTTACAGCCACACCAGTGCTGACCTGCTGGGCTCAGGAGATCCTTCCGCCTCAGCCTTCCAAGTAGCCAGAACTACAGGCTTGCACTACCACACCCAGCTAATTTTTTGATTTACTGTAGAGATGAGGTCTCACCAAGTTGCCCAGGCTGTTCTCAAACCCGTGGGTTCAGGCAATCCCTTCACTTTGGCTTCCCAAAGTCCTGGGATTATAGGCCTGAGCCACTGCGCCCACCCAGTCTGGAATGTTTTAATAAGTGCTGATCTTATCCTTTGAGTGTGACCTGGCATTATTTCCATTGACTAGTCAGAATTATGTCTGATGCACATGCCTCTAGCATACTCTCTAACCTTCAGGCAGGTCACCTCAGGAAATAGCATTAATAATATGTCATCTCAGTCTTAGTTATAAATATTCTAAGTTGCCTAGTAAAGAAGTCTCCCTGGATCCTAAAGAAGCTTGGTTAGCCCGGCGCAGTGGCTCACACCTGTAATCCTAGGATTTGGGGAGGTGGAGGCAAGAGGATTACCTGAGCCCAGAAGTTTGAGACCAGCCTGGGCAACATGATGAGACCTCATCTCAACAATAAATAAATAAATAAATAGCTGGGCTTGGTGGTGCATGCCTATAGTTCAGGCTACTTGAAAGGGTGAGGTGGAAGGATCACCTGAGCCCAGCAGGTCTGGGCTGCAGTGGGTGTGAGCTGCTCCACTGCACTCCAGCCTGGGCGACAAAGTGAGACTCTGACTCAAAAAAACAAAAATAAAAAAGGAGGCTTGGTTAATTAAAATTCTCCATCCTATTAAACAGTAAAGCCAAATAACCTGGAGTTGTTTGTCCTGGTTTTTCTACTCTATAACCCCTATGCACAAGTTGCTGAAGCTATCTGTGGTATTCCATGGAACATTTCTAAGAATAAGAGCTGGCCAATGGGAAATTTTTCTTAGGGTAGGGGACAGCATACTTAACATAGGTTGCAAAGGCACATAGATATTCATATTTTAGAGCTTATCTCAGATTTAAATAAATAGCCAAAGTAAGATCTCATTGCCTTCCAGGTGAAGGTGCACAGTCATACATATTAAAGACCTGCCAGTTACCATTCTGTTGCTTATTGCCTTTCTCCCCCTTAGGGATCCTTAAAGAACTCTCTGGTGAAATGATTTGTTACATTGAGGGGGTTCTTCTCTGGTCATTACACTGCTATTTATTTCTAGAACTCACTCTCGGCCAGCATTGTTTTTCTCTTTGACCTAGAGGTTTCACATCATAGCAAGGGGAAAAGTTTCCTCATTGCATTACAACAGTGTGCTAAGTAAAAATCTTGGTCAAGGGTAGTTTTCAACTCAATTTATAGAACAGTCCAAAGAGACTTTGAGAAACATGATGATAGGCAGGAACCTTTCCTACCATGTTTCAATACCTACATACCTATTGAAAGAGAACAGTAGGTAAACATCTCCTAAAGTTGAAGCAATAGCTTCATAGATTCTTGGTTACTTTATTTTTTTTAATGCTTTACATTTGATACAACTATTAAAGATCAATTTTAAAAATAGCTTTCCAGTAATATATTTTAAGTAATATATATTTTAATATCTATGTAAAAAGTGACAGTGGAAGACTGAATTTCTCATATATGGTATGTTTAATGTAGGACCTCACTGTTAAGGCACAGATTATTTCAAAGGAAATTACTCTAAAGATGCTCAGATTATTTCAAAAAAAAATGCAATAAGGGGAATAGTTTTGGGGTTTATTTTTTATTTTAAAAGAAAATTTACTTATTTGCCACAAGCTATTTTTTTCCCTTCTGGCTATAAGGTTTGTACAGACTGGTTTGGTAAATGCTAAACTTTGTGTCTTTATGCCTTTTTAAAGGAATTGTTAACATTGGAATTGAGGGTATGTACAGAGAAGTTGGTGTCAACACCATTTAAAAGTCATATTTTTTCACAAATATAGAAAAAAATCATTTTACATAAGAATTTTAAGTATTTGCAATAAATATATGTATATAGATTGTATGTATTCCTATATTCTTATTTTTCATTTTATTATTAAGTAAAAGATCATTAAAAG